CAGGTTTTGTTAAGGGAATAACTGAAAACTGGAGATGCTATAAACCTACCCTGTAGCTACTTCAGCTACACTCTTTTTTTTGGAACATTCTGCTTTAACAGAAATTCTTATTGCAGTAATTCCACAGCAATGTTTGTGGCAGAGGTAAAAATGACTGGATTGTAATTTCAGAGGTGATCGTTAAACTCTTGCTGCTTTAATCGTAGCCAGGGTAGTTCTATCATAGGCCACAGGGACCCTGGATTTTAAGTAGGGGGCAAAGCTGGTCAGTGTTCAGTCATCCTGGGGCTCACCTGCACAAACATACAACAGGGGAAGAGCAGTATGTTTCCCCTAACAAAGGGTTTGGGAATAAAAATATTCAAAATAAGTGGGAACACAAGCATGAGACTTCTTCTGGATGCCACTGGTCTGTATTGCACTGTAAGGCCCTTCCTTGAGGGGGGCAGAATGCAACTTTGTAGAAGACTGAAGGGAATCTTTCAGCATTCAGGTATTTAGGTTTAGGTTTAAACATGTTTCCTTTATTGCTGAGGTGTATTTGCAGGTACCTCTTGGCAAGTATGCTAACTACTGTAGCCAGTGTTAAACACTGTTTTAAGGCGTTGGGCGTATGCTTAATGAAATTGAAAGCATATGTGATGCCACTGGAGAAAAATATCAACTTCTTCTCTGATGTGAGATTTTTGCAACCTTCTTTTCGCTGGGGAGGATCAGGGATTTGGTTTCTGTGTATATGGTACTTTTTTCATGTACAAACAAGTTTATTGGAGATGGGTTTGAGTACGCTGAATGCTACTTGTAACTTAAGCTTGGAAACAGAGAAGCTTGCACGATTTTGTCTTTCGTTAGTGACCTGTGAAGCATACTGAGATGTCAAATGTTTTCTTTGTTTCTTTCTGTTTGGAAATGTTGAAGTTGAAATATATCTTTGCTATGGAGCTATCAAGCACTGAGTGCTTGCTTCATTTAAAAGGACTTCTGGAAAAAACTTAAATTGTGGGGGGATGGCTGGCATAGAATGGCCTTAACTCACACGTATCCCAAATATTTCTTGTGCTCTGCAGAGTTATATCCTTAAGTAAAAATAACTGGAAGTGTGATGGAACTTCAGAATTTTAGGTCGAAGTTTTCAGTAAAAGACCTCATTTCCCACCTTGCTACTGTATATGGAGATAACAGCTGTCTGTTATCAGTAATGCTAATAGTTTCTTTTATCAAAGCAAACCTTGCAGGTTTCCTCAGTACAGAGTCAGGAATGCTGTTTGCAGGAAATGCAGGCTCAAACAAAAAAAAGGGCACAAAAATGCCAACGAAGGGCTGTGCAGAGTGGTGTTTCAGAGGTGTGGAACAACACAAGCCTGAGCTGGCTGTTGGGAGAGCAACAAACGGGCAGTTGTTGAGTCCTGCTGCTTTGAAAATGCCGATGCAACAGGCTCCCTGCCACATCTTCCCCACGGCTGCGGGCTTGACCATACCTGTGCTGCTCTACACATCTTTCAAGAAAGGGCATGTTTGCACTGCAGTAAAGGTAATGTGTGTTTATTACATGTGAGGCTACAAAAATTCTTGCAAGCACATGAAAGCGCCACGTTCAGTGGGCCATAATGAAGTCCTAATCTGAATCCTATGAATTTAACAAATCTTACTGTTTTCTGCAATAAAAGGTGGTACCATTCATATTAAAGCAAACGTCTTTCCCTCTGGTCTGATCTTTGGGGGTATGTGGTGCTTGGCCTATATTCACAGACACTACATTCTTTTTTGAATTATAGCAAGTTAAACTTCCCCTGAAAAAACTGGTTTGGACCCATAGTTAGTTGAAATCAGCTCAATTCTGGAACTGTTTCCTCAGTGCAAAAGGACAAAAAGCACATAAACTCCAAGGGGTGGATGTTTTAAAGGCTTCTCTACCCAGTGTTGAGAGTTCCTTCACGGAGGTATGAAACATCAGTCTTCATTGCTGGGAAGCAGTGTTACAAACTTCCCGTTTCCTTCTAAACCTCAATGCTAGTTTAAGAACTTCCCCTAAATTAATATGTCCTGTATGAACACTGCAGAGTTTTATATATTTCACAAGTCATTAAATGGTGCTACAAACTATTGTAGGCTGTGTCCTCCATCACAGCTTTGAGGAAGGGGAAGTTTATGGCTTCTCATGTTCTTGTTTTGAATAACTATTCAAAAGGAAATCAGGTGCTGACTTTGACAAGCAGTAATTCATACACATTATAATTGGACAGTGGAAATATTTAACCATGTTTAAGGCACTAACTTTTAAAAACAGTATCTTATTTAAATATTTTTGTGTCTAAGGACAAAGAGGTGTTTTTCTAGGTCCTTGATTTGTACATGATCTGTATGAAATCCTGGCTGCACAAGAGCTACTCTGAAACCCTTCCTGCCAGTAGCAAAGAGTTGTACCAGGAAGAATGCTTAGCATTCTTTAAGACTATACCATGTCTTTGGAATTGAAAATAACTAGTAATGCAACCAGAATATAGTTTATCCTGTTTCTTAATACTTCAACTTTCTCTTCAAACCCTTCTCCACAATAACACTGTTTAGTCTTAACATTAAAGGGAGGAGGAGTAGAGAGTAAGAAGCATTTCTGTTAGATGATACTACCACTCGCTGCCTGGTTTCCTAGGAGCTCTTCTTGTCAGAATCTGCTACCTAGAGCTAGGAAGAGAAATACAATTAGACCTAGATTTTCTCTTCTCTTAACAATATTCGTATTTCATATAGGAGTGCTATAATTGCACTTAGTCAGCATTTACATTCCTGGTAACTAAAATCCTGGTGGTAACCGCGACACGTGGCCCAGGACGGTGATGCACAGAGGAACTGAAAGCACATCAATCACACACTGCATGACAGGAAGGAGGAGGAAGGGAAGAAGACAGCAGAGCATATACTGTTCTCATTTTAGCATCTAAAAATAACCCTTCTGACAGGTAGAGGACAGTTTAGTCTTTACGAGTCTGCCAGAAAGATAAAGATAACTCAGTTGAGTCAAGCCTTTCTACGTACAGGTGATGCAAAGCTGAGGATGCCTTTTTAGGCAAAATGACAAGAAGCTAACAAACAACTCTCCAAGGTAGGAACTTGAGCATCCTCCCTCTTACAGCATCTCTAAGCCTGGGTTCCCTGCAAAACATGCATTTATAGTTACTCCTTAACCTGACCTCTTACTGTATGTAATTAATTACTTTAAATCTTACTGTATGTAATTAATTACTTTAAATCTTACAGCAGGGTTAGAAAGGGACTTCTGTATTGAGTCCAGTTACTGCTCTATTACATTAATGGTCTACAGTCCGCTACACTGTCAGTAACAGTAGTGATTTTTCAAGGGGCCTGAGCTTCAGTTAAGTTTAGATGAATTCAGCGTAAAGCATTAGTCAGCAGGTAGTAACAAGTTTAAGAGGGAGGAAAAAAAACCCCCACAGAACAGGTTAGCTTGTGTATTGTGGTTTTAATCAGTACAACAGAATCCTCAGGGAGGAAGATACAAATTAGTAAAACTTCCACAAATCATTTAAAAAAACCAAAACAAATACATTTGAGTTTTAAAGTGGGCAGTTAAAAGCAACCCTTCCCTCCAAAGCCAAGGAAAAGGTACTCTGTGGCTAATACCAAACTGCAGTGAACTTTAGCCTGCAAACGAGAAACCATGTTGCATGACACCAGGTACCTGAGCACTCTCACTTCACATTAATCAGTTCTTCTACTGTCAAACGTGTAGGAAAAGGACTTGGTAAGTATAGTTCTCTTTTTGGGATAGCATTAACAATTTAACCAACCTTCTTTGTTCACTGAAGGATAAGGTGCCACTAAGGCTTTCTAAATCAATTTCTTTTATGGCAAGTTACTAGACTTGACATTAACAAGGAATCAAGAGTTCAAATAAAGAGAATCACTAGCATTGGTCTGCACCAGAACTTTGCACCTAAACAATTCAGACAGCACAGATGACAGATCTTATCTCAAGAAATAAATTAACTTTTCCCTTTAAATTTCCAGGGTTTAAAACAAGAGTCTGGAATCCTTGCTTGATGATTACATATCAAACTTCCAGCTGTGTTTTAGCACATGACAGCCTTCAAAAGATAATTACCAGCTGGTACACAGGGCAGAACCACCTTTATTACAAAGATACCTTCAGCAGAGTTTACTTCTGAAAAACTTCTCACAGTGTTTAGAAGCAGTAATTTTCCTCTACAGCCCCAAAACTGGGTCACTGAAGGATTCTCAGATTAAACTGACATCTTTAAGATAAGCAACTAGTACAATCCCAACTGGAGTTGTGCAGGAACTGAGTCATCCACAGGCACACACCTGGAAATGTCAAGAGCCATCTGTTCTGAACCACATATTTTATTGCTCAAAGTAGAAGTCATATGCACCAGTTCTTTCCCTGCTGACTTCCATTTTCCTTCTCACCAGTTTCTTGTCATATTGCTGGCTTAGGGTGGAGACAGAAGTACTGTGATCTTCTCTACACCTTCTATCCCCAGATTCAAGAACAAGTCAGAAAATACTGTCCCAACAGAAGTAACTTTTAACTCTCATAAAAAATGATCTTTCCAAAACACATACAAGAACACTAAAAGAAGTCGACATTAATTTAAATTTAATACAAAACCCCCACAATTATCAAATTATTATCCTGCATTTACAAGTGTTAAAAGTCCGCTTAGTCTGTCCTGGCTAGTTCACACTCTGGGATTTCATTCTGAAAGTGGTCAAAGGCTTATATGAAAAACAAAGCATCCTGATTTTGTTAAGCATCTCTTCGAGCAGAATGCCACCTGCTCGTTGTTTTGTTTGCTCATGTTTTATGGGACTGCTAGTCAGGTAGCACATACAAACAAGCAAGATCTGGCTGTACAGTATTTCAGACGGATACCGTTAAAGTGCAAAGAACACCATCCAGCCCAAGTGCAAACTCTTTTCCTGAAATCCCTATTTAGCAAGCGAGACGAGGCTCCCTGACGCTATCCAATTAAAGGGTCGTCATCATCATACTGTAACTGAAGCCGGGAAAACGGCCGTGGGGGAGCTACTCTATTCTTGGAGATTATTATAATGCAGGTGAAAGTAGTCAGTACCATCAAAGCCCCAATGACTATCCCGATAGCTTCTGGAAGGTTTATGCACCATTGGTCAGTGAGCAGGCACTTGGTGTTACTGAAAGTGCCGTTGTGGGGCAGCGGTGTCAGGCCCAGGATGTGGCACATCATAGGGTAGATATCAACGTTGTTTATTGTGCTCTGCTTGTAACCTCGACGAAAAGCAGGCCCACGAGCAGCCAGGAACGGATGCATGCTTGGGAGAGCATTGTCGTAGCCATGGTCACCTACTGGAGAAAGGCAAAGTTTAGAGTTAACGTTACAGTTTCTGTTTGTATATTGAGTATTCCCCTCACCATCTTCCACCCATCCCCCAAAGGCATGTATTTTAACCAAACACTGCAATGCAGAACATAAAAGCAGCTGTTGGATCAAATGCAGAAGGAACCCAGAGTTCCCTCCTTCCTCCCCAATCCCCAGAAGTCTTTTCCCATATTGCTCTTCAACCATGGTTCCCCTCCATTCTCTCTTTTCAGCCATCAATACTTCCAGTTTTCCCCTTCCCACTTCTCATGCCGAAGTTGACAAGGATGTGGCCACTCCACAAGTCAGTAGCTGGAATGAAGATTTGTACTTCTCAGATTTTAGACAAGTATCTCTGCCTTGCAAAGCAGACACTTTAATTACTTCTTAAAAGCCAAGCACTCTTCCCTAAACAGGGTTCAGTTCCAGCATGTGAAGTACCCTCAAATCATGCTTATCAGATTAGGTACTTCAGGTGAAGGGACACCCAAATAGTGAAAACCAAAACACAGTCAAAGGACAACAATGTCGGTGACAGGCACACAACAGAATGTGGCTACAAGGTCACCAGTACTTGCGCATTTGGTAGGTTTTTAAGAAATACTCAGATTTTTGGTGGAATATAAAGAGCTAAAAAGCAGCCATTGTCAAATTTCTTAATCATAGGCCTGAAAAACCTGTCCAAGATGCTAAAAATTTCTCATAGCAAACACAGCACAGTATTTGAGTGGCTGCATTTTTGAGTTCATTTCTTACTAACAGTTAACGAGGCTCCTAAAGAACCACCTTCTTGGCTCCTTCACTGAAGTTTCTGATGTGAAATGTCAAGATTCCTATTAATTAGGTCACACTCCCCACTTCAGTGTACTTCAATATCCCTTTCCAATGTTTTCCACCATTACATTTGCTACCACAAAGATACTACTGCACTATGTCCTGCTTGTTTTAATGCAGTCCTGTCTTTTCAGATTACATTGTTTTTAACGTCTACTGCTCTCTTGTTTTGAGCAGAGCTGTTCCCAAGTCCCTACTCCAACAAAGACTCCTGTCTTTCACCCCTGAAGTGGGAGGGCTGGTGTGTGCTGACACAGGAACAGCGTAGGGATTGGTACACTGGCCACTCATTACGCTGCCACTTTGTCTGTGATGACAAGAACAATAAACACTTAAATAACCTTTTAGGCTAAACTCTCCCCTGCCTGCTTCTGGGAAGCCTTGGCTAGCAGAAGTGTTTTGAAAAGTGATTCACTTCAACTGATACAATGCTGTTACTTATAAATATAGACTTATTATTTTTAGGTACATGGAAATGAATCTAACCATAAACAAGAAAGAGGCTTCTATTAGAGAACATGCATGCTAAGTATTCTAAGTATTGCCAATTTGAAGATGATTGTAGCAAATCTGTGAGGAAATTAAAATATAAATACCTCTTACATTAAAACAGCACTTTTGTACAAATAAACATAGATTCATAGAATGGTTTGTGTTGGAAAGGACCTTAAAGCTCATTCAGTCTCACCCCCCTGCTGTGGGCAGGGACACCTTCCACTAGACCAGGCTGCTCCAAGCCCCTGTGTCCAACCTGGCCTTGAACACTGCCAGGGATGGGGCAGCTTCTCCGGGCACCCTGTGCCAGGGCCTCAGCACCCTCACAGGGAAGAACTTCTGCCTGAGATCTAATCTAAATCTCTCCAGTGGCTTTCATGCAACTGTTGTATTTTTTCAGTAAGTTATACACGTCTCATCTGCCAAAAAAAACTACCCTGCATGTGAAACACCTGGAAATATATATGCATATATAAGCACACCTATACATATGTGTGTATGTAATTTGACATTCATAGCATGTAGCAGGAAAAACATGCGTAGCTTAGCAGTGCACTATATGAAGTAACATCTCATTTGTTTTTTCTCTTTAAAGCATACTATTTGATGCCCCTAACAGGAAGAACTCTGGCTTCTTCGGCCATTATTGTGTTCCTATTATTTTTAGTATTTCCTCCCATTTATTTTTGTTTTCTATTATGTGCTGTAACATTAAATTTTGTGGCTGGCATTCTTCAATCTGTGCTCCCCTGCTCATTACATACGTGTGTGTGTGTATATATATATATGTATATACATATGTATTTTACATACAAAAATTAGCTAAACCACACTCTAGTGGAAGCCCAAGACACTGACTTGCCTAAGGTAACTCTTAAGTTGAACATGACATGTTTTAGCCAAAAAAATAATATCCCCCATCTCTTCCTCATCTATTTAAAACACTCCAGACTCAGGCTGAGAATGTTCTCGAAAATGCTGGGATGCTCCTAAAGCAGCACAGTGCCAGGACTCCATTCACTAAACCAGGACCAGCCTACAGGTGGCTGGAATAAAACCAAGACAGTTTATCAACATAAGCCATCAAGAGCACAAATGAGGAACACACTCTTACATTTTGACAGCGACTCGTTCTGTACAATGGTCCAGCCTTCGTCTGCAACCAGGATGATGGGTTGAATTCTCTTATTATGACGATAGTGAAACCTGTCTGGAATTTCTTCTTTGAGATACACTTTCATGTGACTGTTGCATTTTTTCAGTAAGTTATATACATCTCTCTTGTCTGCCAAGAAAAAAAGGGCACATGAAACAGCCAGAAACGGTGTCCTGGTACTGCGATTATCTGTCATTGAGCCTAAGATAAAGATAATTGTTTTGAAAAAAATTAAAAGGCACATAGAAAAGTATTTTTTCAGGTCCCCAATGAAACACTACATGTTTCAAGGTGAAATTGACAATTTGCTCTCATTTTCACTGAGGCACCTCACAGCTGTGGTTTTGAACCTATGACTGAATTTACCCTCTGGGTGTACAGGGTAGGAGGGCAAAATTCAAGCAGAGAAATCAAGAGAAGGCAATCACACACCAAAGCAGTCGATATTTTATCCAAAGCACTCAATCTTGTTACTATATAAATCACTTAGTTCATCAGAATTGCTTCAGACTGGGCACAGTTGTGGAAACTGAGACCAGCAGTGTCATGACATGCTTGTTACTAACTACTCCAAGATACAAAAATTGTGAATAAACATGAGGGTTTATTTCATGCTCACTGTGAATCACAACCATACAGACTAAGTGAGCAACAAGAGATCAGGTATAGAATTACACAATGGGTTGAGTTTGGAAGGGACCTTAAAGCCTATCTAGTTCCAACCCCCCTGCCACAGGCAGGGACACCTTCCACTAGAGCAGGCTGCTCCAAGCCCCATCCAACCTGGCCTTGAACAGTGCCAGGGATGAGGCAGCCACAGCTTCTCTGGGCATCCTGTGCCAGGGCCTCAGCACCCTCACAGGGAAGAACTTCTGCCTAAAATCTAATCTTAATCTCCCCTCTGGCAGTTTAAAGCTGTTCCCACTTATCCTGTCCCTACAAGCTCTCGTAAAAGTCCCTCTACAGGTTTCTTGTCAGTCCCTTCAGGTACTGGAAGCTGCTCTAAGGTCTCCCCAGAGCCTTCTATTCTCCAGGCTGAACAAGCCCAGCTCTCTCAGCCTGTCTCCATAGCAGAGGTGCTCCAGCCCTCTGAGCATCTTTGTGGCCTCCTCTGGACTTGCTCCAACAGGTCACTTCCTTCTTCTGTTGGGGGCCCCAGAGCTTAACGCAGTACTTATACTAACAGCCTATCGACTTTCTCAACATGCAGTACTAGGACCATCTTTACCACGTATGATTTGACAAGAAACTCTCCTTGGCCCACTGATTACCAAAACAAAGTACTTACTAAATAAACAAACATTCTTTAGCTTATTCATTAAATTATGTCAAAGTTGCAAAAGCAGTGTAATTCATATTGCAGAAAAGACGTGAACAATCTACCATAATGTGTACTTTTTAGTAGTAAGATAAACAACATTTAATTCTCAGTGTATGACTTAAAAAAAACTCAACAGACAAACAACAAAGAAACAAACCAGAACATACTCTGCCTTGGCAGCACTGCAGCAACTGGACTCTTGTCTATCAGAGTGTAGTTGTTGCGCCCGATACACTCATCCAGGATAATCAGCTTCTTTGCTGAACAGGAGGCCATTCCATGATCACTTGTTATTATGATATTAATAGTATCCCACAAACCAAATTCCTTCAATTTATTGGTAAGGAAACCAATATGATTATCCACTTCTTCTAATACCTTGCGCATATTCTCCGTGTCATCTGGCCCATACTTGTGTCCACTTGCATCCGGTTCTTCCCAGTATAGGATAGCAAAACTGACTACTGGATTAGAGCTGTTCAGCCAGGCAATGATTTTCTCCACTCTCTCCTCAAACGTTACTGAAAAGTTATACTTCATGAACAACTGAGGGGTTGTATCATTAATTTTTACGTCGGTACCGGGCCACATTGCAGCTGCGCTTGCTCCATTTCCCTGCTGTTGATTTGTTACCCAAATCGGAACTGCCTCATTCCACCAGAAGGGATCTGAATCATTGAACTGTGAAAACTTCTTCTTGGCATCTGCATCATACATGTCATTGGCCACAATGCCATGGCTTTCTTCATATAAACCCGTCACTATGGTATAATGGTTTGGGAAAGTCTTGGTGATAAAAGAATTTGTAACTTGTTTTACAAGCACGCCATCCTCAATGAACTCCTGAAGATGAGGAAGTTTATAGGTTTCCAAGTAATCAGCCCTGAAGCCATCAAAGGACACAAGGAGTAACCTGGATACTGGATCACCTGTAGAACGAGCACAACACGCAACTATTCCAGAGAAAAATAATGTCAACATCGAGTTCATCGTTGATACATCAAAGTATTTCCAGCAGGTAATCAGACGCACCTGAAAAATTTAAAAGATAATGCATGTAACACAAAGTAATTGTACTGGAACCAGTTCAACTAGCTAGACATCATGTACATCTGCAAAATAACCCATCTAAACAACCACTGGAGTCAACAGTGTATTTCCCTATTGACTTCAGAAACTTCTCATATATTGTCATACTTTTTCATACATTAAAACAAACGAGCAATGAGATTTTTTTTCATTCTAGATTAAATGAAAGGAAGAATTGTTTTCTCTGTTTTAAGCTATCACTCCATCATTCTGTGTGTCTTATTACGATTCTGCATTCCAAGACAATCAGTATTTTTCTTCATGTTCAGGCACAGGCACCTGAACAATTCTGGATCCACATTTAAGAATCCTCTGTAATCCTCATTACACATCACTGTTCAGACCAGAATTTTGTTTTCTACTCTAACTATAATTTTTCCCTTTCATCCCACCTTCCTTTTTCCCCCCAGTTTCCACCCTCTCGAGTTGCTGGAAGACTTTTGACCCTCTCAACACTCCGATTTACTCATTGCTTACTCTATACACAGAGCAGCCAGGAGTAACTTCTGCTCCTGTTTTCCTTCTAAGCTGCTGCACATCTGCCATAACAGCATTTAAACCTGTTCTCTACGTATCACACCTCTAAGAAAAATTTAAAAAATCATTAGTAACGTTAGGTATGAATCAAGTATTTCTCACCAATGAATTCATCACTATTATGAATACAAGGCATGATTTGTAAGCACTTTTTTCTCCCTAGAGTTATTACGTGACAGGAGTACTTTGTTCAGAATTATTCTATAAGGCTTTAAGAAGGAGGAAGTGAAGCTCCAGGTTCACAAAAACCTTTGCAGGATGGTTAGACAGCGTATTTACTTTTCAAGAGCCCTACCCCAGCAAACTTCCCCTTTATCTTACACAAACGAGGGTGATTCCAGGAGGAACAGCAGGTATCTTCCTAACTATAGTAGCATCTTCTGGCCTATCTCAACCCTTTTCCCCAGACTCTTCTAAAAACAGTGAGTGCATTATTTTAAAAGTGCAAGTAGCTTTAACACTGGCTAAACCTTTAGTAGGGAGAGGAATTCAAATCATGGTAAATCATGCCCCTACAACCAACAGTTAACGTTTCTTTACAAGGCACAAATGTTAGAAGAAAGGATCACCAAAAACAGCATTAGAGAGACCTTCTAATACAGAGGACTTGTGACACAAAGCCCCTTTAAAGAGAGGCAAAAACGAAGAAAAGAAATGAGAGAAGCATTTCTGGTTTACACACTGTATTAGCATTACTCCAACGCTGTTTGCATGTCATGCCCCATCCCTGGCAGTGTTCAAGGCCAGGCTGGACACAGGGGCTTGGAGCAACCTGCTCTAGTGGAAGGTGTCCCTGCCCGTGGCGGGGTGCTGGAACTGGATGAGTTTTAAGGTCCCTTCCAACCCAAACCACTCCACGGTTACAGCGACCTGCTCCTGAACCTCCTAACAAGATTTTCACGGCCCCGGTTGCTCGACTTGGCCAGGAACGCGTTACCCTGCGGGCTGTCACCACACACCCACCCGGTGCTCAGCGCTCCTGGGGCCAGAGCGCCTGCACCGCGGGGCCGCTCAGCCAACGGGC